TCCTCGCCCAGGTTCCAGCTGGAAGGAGGAGCCAACCAACCCACCTTTCCTGGAGGTCGTGGAGACTCTGCTCGGCCCTGTGCAGACCTTCCAGGTCCTTCATCATCTTCTTCATGTGCTCCTTGGAGTAGCGGTTCTGGATGTAAGCAAACCAGCAGCCTCCCACGCCGATGACGATGGAGACCACCAGCATGAAGTCTTTCAAGTGGTTGTGACGGGTCACTGGGGAAGCAGAGGCGGAAGAGCGTCAACAAGGAGCCCCCCACCCAGCTCCTCTCCTGCCTCTGCTCGGCCCGCTTGGATCTGATCTGGAGGCCCACCTCCTGCTGGCTTCCAGACCCCAGGGAAGGGGGGGGGTTCTCCCCCCCCCCGGAAGCCCCCTCGCTCTCAAGGCTGACGTCCGAATGGCTCAGGACGGGTGGGCAGAATCAGCCTCTACCCTGGTAGGGGGGAAGACCACCCTCCTTTCTCTGCAGCACCAAAGATCTAGCCAACTTAACTGCACCACAAGAGCTGGAAGGGACCTCAGAGGTCTTCTAGTCCAGCCCCCTGCTCAGGCAGGAAACCCTATTCCATTTCAGACCGACGGCTGTCCAGTCTCTTCTTGAAAACTTCCAGTGTTGGAGCACTTGGCTGTGTAGCCTTGCGTGGCGGGGCACATGGGCCCTCACAGCCCCGGGGTTGGCTGTCCTCGTGACCCCATCCCCTCTGCTCCCCCCCCACTGCCTGTATTAACAACCGATGATCCACCGTGTTGGAACTCTTTCACCTTTTGAAACTTTCATAATGTGGTTTTACGCTTTAATTTTTTTGTAATCCCTAAATCATTCTGATTTTAAAGTTTAATTTATTGATTGTGTTGTACGCTGCCCAGGGTCTCTCTCTCTCTCCGAGGGAGATGGGCGGTTGAAAAATATGAAGTGTAAATAAATAAATATGTTTTACCCCAAACCCTTCTGTCAAAATCCTTCATAGTTTTTGGAAGTGGCCAAAGCCCCTCCTGCTGCATAATAATAATAATAATAATAATAATAATAATAATAATAATAATAATAATAATAATAATAATAATAATAATAATAATAATAATAATAATAAAAAGTTGGAAGGGACCTTGGAGGTCATCTAGTCCAACCCCCTGCTCAGGCAGGAAACCCTATACCATTTCGGACAAATGGCTGTCCAGTCTCTTCTTAAAAGCTTCCAGTGTTGGAGCATTCACCGCTTCTGGAGGCAGGTGGTTCCACTGGCTAATTGTTCTAACTGTCTCCGGCAGAGATGTCACCCTGAGGCCTGGCCGTGATTTCCATGCCCTCTTCAGACACGCAGCTCCAAAAGCGGATTTTTAGGGTGTCCTTTTGGCTTTTAGAGAAAGGCAGCCCCGCAGTTTTAGTTAAAACTAGCAACAGCAACTCAAGAGGCCGTACTGTGCATGGATTTTGGCCAAGGCTCTCACGGGTGTCAACTAGTAAGGAATAATATATCCCTGGACTTCTTGCAGAGAGACGGGTGGCGAATAAATTTAATCAACAAACTTACAGCCATCGGTCTGGAAGTAGCCCAAAATGCGGTTTAGAAAGAGATTAGGAATGTTTTTCAGTTTGCAGCAAGATAAAAATCTATGCAGAAAGAAAGGAAGGAGCTGTTCTTCTCAAAAGGGGGGGAAAAAAAGAAAAAGAAAGCATAGCCAAGATTGTTCTTTTGGCAATAGGTAGCAACGCTCAACCTTTGCACCAAGTATTAAGGAGTTATTTCTTCTTTATCCAGCCTTGCTGTTCTTAATGAAGCAGGATAATTGCCTTATCGCTACTGAACCAGCCGGCAGCTTCCTTGAGTAAAACAGCAGAAGGATAAGCAGGACTTTTTTTTTCACAGAGGGGATGCAAAAGCCCCCGGGGAGTCTTCAGGCCTTAAAGAGGATCCGCCGGTGGGGATCTGCGTGGGCTCAGTCCACGGCTGGTCACCCACAATGGGATTCCTCGGACAGCAACCTCTGTGCAAAAACACAGGCCAAATCCGCAGCGCTCTGACGAGGTAAACAGAGGCTGGGCCGAATATGGAGACCAAGCGACACACGACAGGAATGTTGTTGGAGCAAGTGCTGAGGAAGGAGGCCGGACCTGCTGGAGCATGTCTCCAGGATCTCCTGCATCTCCAGGACCGTTTCCAAAGCTTGCTCAGGGGCTGGGCCAGGAATCCAAGAAGTGGCATCATCTTCCCTTCCGATCAGAAGCCAAGACAGGCCATCATGCAGGCTCCTCCACCAGGCAGGGGAAGGGTCCCTCGTGTGAGTGGGCTATCAGCAGAGGGACAGGGACCTTCTACATCCAGTTCCCACCCATCACAGGGTTGGAAAGCCCTGATTCTTGGGGTGCAACATGCTTTTCTAGAACATGGAGCCGGAAGGGACCTTGGGAGGTCTTCTAGTCCAACCCTTGCCCAAGGCAGGAGACTTTACTGCATCCCAGGCAAATGGCTGTCCAATCTTTTCTAACGATGCAGCACCCACAACCTCTGCAGGGAAGCCGTTCTATTCATTAATCATTCTCTCCGCCAGGAAATTTCTCCTCGGTTCCAGGCAGGATCTCCTCCTGACGATCCTCCACCTGTTGCTTCTTGTTCACGTATTGTGAAACACGCAACAGGAGGAGAGGTTCTCCAGGAGCAGCACGGCAGCCCTTTGGCCGCCAACTTGCTCGGACCAGTTCCAACTCCTGCTCACAATGGAGAAACCTACGACGGAGCCATCACCGGCGGCCTGTGTAGGATCAGCGGGTGGGGATGGACACCTTCCACCTGGGCTTGTGGCCTGGCAGAAGAAGCCCCACGAAGGGCCGCTCTGCTCTGCAGGAACCGGCCCAGGCTGGCTTTCCTGGAAGGAGCACCTGAGGTGGCCAGGCTGCCCTCGGCTGAGCTTCCATCCGACGAGGCTCACGGCCTTGGCTCTGCCCTGCCGGAGTGGCAGGGGATCCTTCGCTGAGGTAAATTTGCTTTTCACCAGGGTGCCAACATAGCATAGCTTGAGACGGGCAGTTCTCATGACCTCAAGTGAGCCCAAATGTTCCCTGGCTAAGACAGGCTGTGGCTGAGTGAGTTTTGCCTCACTTTATGGCCTGTTTCGCCACAAATCGCTGAAGTTGTTAAGTGAACCTGGTTTCCCCGTTGAGGCGGCTGGTCAGACGGTGGCAAAAGGCGATGATGGCGTGACTCTGGGTTGCTGCCATCGTGGTCAATGCATGCCAGTTGCCAGGCAACCAAATTCTGATCACATGACCAGTTTGATCGTTTTCCCCAAGAAATTGTTGATGTAGGTCAGGGGTAGGCAACCTTGGCTCTTTTATGAATCGTGGACTTCAACTCCCAGAATTCCTGAGCCAGCATGGGGGAAACTATGGCCCCTTCATGACTTGTGGACTTCAACTCCCAGAATTCCTCAGCCAGCATGGCTCAGCTTGAAACCTCTCCCTTTTCCCTCAGCATGGCTGGCTCAGGAATTCTGGGAATTGAAGTCCACAAGTCATAAAAGAGCCCAGGTTGCCTACCCGATGTAGGGAGCAGTGTTTCTCCACACAGGCCCCCTTAAGATGCATGGACTTCGACTCCCAGGTAGCCCATGCTGGCTAGGGAATTCTGGGAGTTGAAGTCCACAAGTCTTAAAAGTCACCCAAGTTGGATACCCCGGGTCGATACGTAACACATGACCTATGGCAGGGGTAGGCAACCTTGGCTCTTTTATGACTCGTGGACTTCAACTCCCAGAATTCCTGAGCCAGCCTGGGGGAACTATGGCCCCTTCATGACTGGTGGACTTCAACTCCCAGAATTCCTGAGGCAGCATGGGGGAACTATGGCCCTTTTATGACTCATGGACTTCAACTCCCAGAATTCCTGAGCCAGCTTGGCTCAACATGGAAACCTCTCCCTTTGCCCTCAGCATGGCTGGCTCAGGAATTCTGGGAGTTGAAGTCCACAAGTCACAAAACAGCCAAGGTTGCCTACCCATGATGTAGGGAGCAGCGTTTCTCCACACAGGCCCCCTTAAGACACGTGGACTTCAACTCCCAGGTAGCCCATGTTGGCTGGGGAATTCTGGGAGTTGAAGTCCGCAGGTCTTCACGGGGCCTATGTGGAGAAACACTGGTGTGGAGAGCTGAAATGAAGTGCTCCAGGTCCAACAGCAAATAAACACACACACACAAAAATAGGCCCAATATAGCCACTCAAATTTTAAACAAATCGTAAAGTGGTTAAGGACTCATAAGCCGTTATATACACAACTCGGAAATCTCTCAGCATTAGAAGAATATACAGATATACAGTCATAATCCCTTGAGGTCTCTCTCTGCCCTTTCTCTAAACTATTCCTTTAAATACACACAGACACAGACACACACACAAAACCGCCACAGAAAGGCACAAAATTAAGTCTGAAAGCCTCCAACATGCAGCAAATGAGTTTGAACGGTCCTCTTCTCACAGGCCATAAAGAGACTCCACCCAGCCAGATCTATTTACTTCTTCAGTGTACCGAGAGCTTCCTGGTGATAAAATAGGAACGCTCCCAGTAAAAGCGTGTGAGTTCCAACACAAACACAAAGACGCACCCCAGGTAACGCAACTAGGAAACAAAACAAAAGCGACATTCCCATTGCATTTACAGGCAATCCTCGACTTACAATCACAGCTGAATCCAAAATGCCCATTGCTGAGAAAGACAATTAAGTGAGTTTTGCCTCGTTTTACGACCTTTCTTAGCACCGTTGTTAAGTGAATCACTGCAGTTGTTTAGGTAGCTACAGAGTTGTTAAGTGAACCCGGTTTCCCCCGTTGACTTTGCTTGTCGGGAAGTCGCAAAAGGGGATCACGTGACACACAGACACCCCGGGACTCTGCGACCGTCATAAATATGAACCAGTCGCCAGGCGTCTGGATTTTGATCACGTGACCGTGGGGATGCTACAACCGTCATTAAGTGTGAAAAAGGCTCCTTTTTTTCAGTACCTTTGTAACTTCGGTCACTAAGTGAATCATTGTAAGTCGAGGACTACCTGGACTGGGGGGTTAAAACTAAAAAACTAAAAACGAAAAGCCCTTCAACCTAGAAGCAACCTAGAACTAAGGAGAAACTTCCTGACAGTTAGAACAATTAACCAGTGGAACTACCTGCCTCCAGAAGCTGTGAATGCTCCAACACTGGAAGTTTTTAAGAAGAGATAGGACAAGCATTTGTCTGAAATGGTATAAGGTTTCCCTGCCTGAGCAGGGGGTTGGACTAGATGACCTCCAAGGTCCCTTCCAACTCTTATTGTTGTTGTTGTTGTTATTATTATTAGTATTATTATTATTGCTATTAGTGTTGTTATTATTAGTGTTATTATTATTAGAGTTATTATTATTAGAATAGTGTAATGGCAAGATAGGCAGTGTATAAATTTAATAAATAAAATAAATAAGAACTCTGAGCCACTCCTCGACATACGACTGTAATGAAGCCTGCCCGTCACTGTCGCAAGTCGTCTTGCAACCTTTTTTCCACAGAAGGCAGGAGGGGGCCCCACGCAAACCATGTTTGCCCTCCAGCTGCGTTTAAAACCGGGCCCCTCCCCAGGACACGGGGGTCCCACCACGGAGGGGCAGCCTTCCAGCGTTTTCTCCTCCACTTCCCCCTCACAGAAGAGTCGCAGCTGGCCTTCACGGCGTCGCTGCAAACCTCAAAAGAGTTGTGATCACGCTCACAACCGGTCACGCTTCCTCAGAAATGCGAGGGCCAAGCCACAAGGGAGGAGGTCACACCGCTTCAGGGCTGCTGGGAAATCCGTCCTGGCCTTCGGTCCTTCAAGGGGCTTGAACTCACATTCCCACAATTCCTTGGCCTTAGCTTAGCTCAGGGCGACGAGAGTGGAAGTCCGAGCCCCCCTCCCCCCCTCCCCAAATCTGGCTTCCAGCATCCTGGCACGCCGGAGGGTCACTCACGGAGAGGCGGGCCGAAGAGCACGGTGTCCAGGGCTTTCAGCTGCAGCTTCTGCCGGTGGCTCCTGTCGGTCATCTTCAGGAGCGTCCCGGTCATGGTGGCGTTGGTGATGGCCAGCCTGCAGGGAAGAAGAACAGAGTGGCCCAGCTGAGGGAGAGGGAAGGTCAGAGCTCCCCTTCCCTCCACAGAACCTGCTCAAAAGGATCTCTGCAGCTCAGGGTTCAACTCTGGGGTCCGACAGGCTCTCAAATGCTGGGCGGTTTTCTTGCAGATGTTTCATGACCCAACTAGGGGACATCGTCAGTGCTAGAAGGGAGGAGGAGGAGGAGGAGGAGGAGGAGGAGGAGGA